AAAAAGCCCCCCCCCCCCCAATAATAATAATAATAATAATAAATTGGACGATTATCAGCTGACACCCTATGACTTTTAAAATATAGGAAAACCTCCCTTAAATTTAAGGGTTATCAGAAAACCCCCTCTAATTTTGGCTGTTGCCACAAGAGCAGTCAACAATAAAGATATCTGTTATAACTAGGGATAAAAGCCGAACAACATGGACAACGATAAAGAAGGATGTAACAGTTAACTTAAGAAAGGACCACCTTGATAAGCTGAATATTGGTGGGAAAACCATAAAAATCTTGTAGTCAGCTTTAAAATTAGGGATACAGGCCTTAGCTTTTTACCTGCTCATGTTTGAGTATGCCTAAGCTACGTAGCTAATGTGAATTTTCATCTATGTATTGCTATCCACTAACAGAACAAAGACATGCTGCAATACGAAAGTCTAACACAAGAAAATCTAAAAGAAGGACATAATTTCTACAGTTTTGAACTTTTAATTAAATCTTAGCATGAGGGCCTGTCAGTGAAACATAAACTTTATTAAATTGAACCCTGACTTTTTGTAGTTTGATCAAAGATAATATCTGACAATGATAAGTATTAATTCTCACGTTTTTCTTAGTTTTATATAGGGATAATATATAGTGCCCTGGCTCTTTCTGTAGAGTAGCTTAATCAATCTTATCTCACACTTGTATCAAAACATATCCTAATTCATTGTGTAGAACAAACCACGGTTATGGTATAATTTTCCATCATGTTGAATGATCATTAATATGAAAATTGAGAGAATAAGCCTATAGAAACGTACTGAAAGCACCTCTAAGTAATGAAAAGTGCCATAAGTGTGCAGAAACTACCAAAGAAGTTTCCCTAATTACTGAGGTATTTGAGTGCATAAATATCGACTCCCACGAGTTGGCTTATCCCCCTCCCATGATTGTTTTCGTGCTAGGAGTTATTAACTCGATGGTTGATCTTATCGCTAAGTTGGCAGAAGAAAGTAGTATTTCAATCGACATTTCTGAGAAGCCTTACTAATCTACTACAGCCATCACACCTCACTTTACAACAAAATAAGTACTCGGTCATAAATCATTATGATAACAATACAAGCAACTACTTGATGAACAATCATAACTGCATTATAGGAATTAGGTCTCTTATGGCCAATAATCTAGCATTCAAACACTGATTGTCAAGAACTCCACCATGTACCATCACAACATCAACCACATCCGTATATGACATTGAGTTCTCATCAATATAAGGTGAAATTTTGCATCCTCTTGTCTAAATTTTCACTTCATTCACATAAATAGAAGATCATACATAATTAATAATTGCATCGGTAGAGTAATTTCCTAACTTCCTTTTCCGACTTAACCATAGAATTTTTACATCCAAACAGGAAACCTATCCAATGCATTTTGATTTGTTGCCTGATATTTATCCCCATCCTTTTGCCCCAGTTCCACTTCTACGATTTCGAATTTTCTACCAAAGCGCCAATCGTGGAACCCTAATCACTGCACTCTACAGCTTAATTCAAATGAAATTACATCTATCTCACTCTTTCTCTAACCTATTCCACTTAAATTTCAAAACTTTACTAAAAACCGCAAATCTCTGTTCTTTATTCCTTACTCTCCCTCCTAATTACAAAGATCCCAAAACCACAAACAAGGATTACAGCCCCTAATAACTAACAATTATAATAACAACAGAACAAAGAATCACCTAACCACAAGTAAATAATCTAACAAAGATCGTGCTTTTTGACGGCGCCAAGGAACGAACAATTTGGGATCGGTATAAAAACTAAAAAAGATCGAGAGATTGGGACAAGATGAGATTACGAGAAAAAATGGGATTAGGGTTAGGGCTTAGAATCGCATTGTCGTTGAGCTTTGCCCTTGTTTTGGTGGCGGGATCGGAAATTAACGAGGGGTTTCGCAACTCGAACAAGGAGAAGAAGGTATTTTATTTTGTTTTATTTTTATTTTTCCATTTTTATTAAATTATCCCGTCGAATCGAACGTTCTAGTTTTGTCTTTTTTTTTAATATAATTGGGCTTGGGCTGTTGCAAGTCGGCCCATTGTCTATTGGGTCCATTTTGGATGTTCTTTTTTGGTTGAATTAAATGATGAAAATATTTGTTAATGTGGTTCCCGAATTGCGTTGGAATATACAAAATTTATGCAAGCAAGATGGTTCGAACCGGATGATATCCAAAATTTTTAAAATAACTTATCGGTATGCGAATGTTCTGATAAAGTTTGTATTCTGTTTACTCACAGCACAACTGCACCTACACGGTCATCATAGAAACAACATGCACCGAGGGCGCGGGCACAGACGCACACATCAGTCTCAGATTCGGCGACTCAACCCCGACCGACATCCTGACACGTCATCTCGCCAAGGATCGCAGAAAAAGACCATCTGCCAACCTCACCGACATTATCGACGTACCGGACAGACCATTTCAAGAGTGCACAACCGATGTCTTCAAGGTCACCGGAACCTGCGTACGGTCACAAGTATGCTACCTGTACTTGAAGCAAAGAGGTGAAGATAACTGGAGGCCTGGCCGAGCTCAGGTTCTCGTTGATGAGTCGCCGGAGTTTTCGTCGAAGAATTTTTATTTTCGAAGGGTTCTGCCGAGGGGAGTGTGGCATGGGCATGATATGTGCACAGGGAAGGTTACTCCTTTTGGTGTCAAGCAGGAGAGGAAAGTGTTTGCACCTAAGCATGGTTTGAAATATACTTAATTAGGTGCTAGAGATGAGAATATTATGAATTATTGTATCTTCGGCGTTCAAAGTGATAGAAGTGTTTGATGTCCTCGTTTAATTTATGTCAAAAACCAATAATATTCTTGGAGTATAAAACTATAGAGCACAAAGATAATTGCTTAAAAGGGTAAATTGTACATAACCCTCTCATCTATACTTTCAGTTGCGCACAACACCCTCCAGCTCGTTTACTAGCACGAGCACCGCTGAATTAGCATTTTCAGAAAGATTAATTTCATGTAGTACTGCTCTTCTTTAAGAAGGGCTGAGTGCTATAAATGAGTTGTAGGGTATTTAGTACAACTGAAGTTATAAATAAGGAGGGTTATTTGCACATTACCCAAGAAAACACTTACGCCTCGTTTGGTATGCGGGAATGAGAGGGTATGAAATGCAATTCCAACTATTTATTTATGCGTATCAAACATGATATGTTTTTAGACGCTAGAATTGCTATTCCCACTTTTTATCAATTCTCACTTTATGTGGGAATTGTCATTCCCAACCATTTAACAAGGAATTGATATTCTCACTTAAGTGGGAATAAAATAATCAAATAATTTTTGATTATACCCTCCTTAGAAGATACGAATAGATATAAATTCTCATATAAAAAATTATTTCTATAGAAATAATATCATTAGCTGCTCGTGCAAATATACAAATAGATGTAAAATATTTATATACTATTATTTGTTCGACTTTGCCCTAGTTCCATCGCGTCTGCAGTAGAAAAAAAAATATTGTCTTCGATTTGACGCGACTCGGTTAGGTAACCATTATTATTTTTTAATATGTATGTGTGACTAATCTTTACCTAATCTTTACAGCTACTTTTTATCTTTTGGGACTCGAATGCGTAATCTGTTGGCAATTAGGTTAGTAAACATATTTGAAGTTCCATTGAAGCATATATGCCAAATCTTTTCAGTAATTTTTTTTCAAGCACTCACAACAAGAAACAATGTGCTTAATTAATGAGATTGAAACTTTATGTTTTAATTAGAGGTTAACATATTTTCTGTTCCTTCAAACGTTCTAGGTTAACATATTTTCTATTCCTAATCAAATTTTTGAAAATTAAAAGTGCATTTGAAATTTTATAGAAATTTTATATACAGACTAAAAGTGAACATGTTTTTCCAATCCTTCGAATTTTAGTGTTTTCTTTTGATCTCTCTCTTCATGCATGCACATGGAATTTAGCGTAAATCATGTAGCATGCATGCATATGGAATTCAGTCTATTGTATACTTTTGTGCACAGTGATGCTAGTAGAATTAGCTGCTCGTACAAGTAATAGATATGTAGCATTAGAAGTTAGAAATATGGAATTATACTTATTTATAATCAAAAATAATTTCTATAAAAATTATTTTTCAATTAGGAAGGCAAAAGTCCAAAATTGTTACTGAGGCGGTGTACCAAAATATAACTATCAACTAAAAAAATTTTCTATAAGAAAAATATCATTTCTATAAACCTTTTTTTTGTAAAAAAATAAATTATTTAGTCATTTTAAAAATATTTTTATGTTGTAAAAATTCTTTGTTTTTGTAAGGACATTATTAGATAATTAAATTTTATTCTCACTTATGAACAAATGATACCAAACATGGGAATGAGAATTAGATTGTCATTCCCGTTTCATTCTCTAAACGTGCCTAAACATGAGAATGAGAATGTGCATTCCATTCTGTTGAGCGTTGCGGAAGCCAAACAACCAAACCAACGTGCTACGAGAAATCAAATTAAACGACCGTCGAGAGAATACCAAGCGAACCAAATCAATGTCACAAACACAAACAACCAATTTTAACGTGGTTCAGCAAGTTGCCTACGTCCACGGGGCAAGAAGCGGATAGGGTTTTTTACTAATAGAGAAGAAGAGTATAAACTGAGATTATAAATCACTCAAACTCACTAACAAATCTCTAATTCTCTCCAAACAAAACCCTAACCAATAGCTCAGAAAATACTTCTTTTCTGTACTCCAAATATCCCTAATTTTCTTCTCAATTCTCTCTCCAATTGTTTCATATATATAAAAATCCTAAAATCATAAACATACTAGGAATTCTAAAACAAAAAACAAAACAGATTAGGAATCCTAATAACCTGTTACCAAAATAGATTTGGAATCATACAGATTAGGAATCCTAATAACCTGTTACCAAAATAGATTTGGAATCATGTTACCAAAACAGATTAGAAAACATATTAGGAACCTACTATCCAACAATTCTCCACATCGACGAAGTTTTCCCAAAACTGAGCCGACACCAATACCAACCAAACGTCTTACTTGTTACGTCCAGTACGAAGTGGAAAAAATCCACGACAACAGACTCAATCCACAACAAATCGAGAATCCAAACAAGAATGCGAACAAATTCTAAATGTCGGTATCAATCTACCAAATCGACTGCATCATAAATGACTGCCTACGTATCCTCTTACCCAAGGAATCAAGCATTCACGTAGTTCACCTAAATAGTCTCCAAAAGCCCTCAATCAAATAGAAATATTTGCAACTCTTCACCGATATTACCAACGGGTCTGCAACTGATAGCGCTCATAATGACCTCAAACTAAAACAAATCAAACACCTCCACTTGAGGTGAACTAATGACCGTATCCAAAACATGTCCACTAGCTGCATTCGAATCCAAAACCAACTCATCATCTGTATCTAAATCCAAATGATCTCCAAACTATGCCACCTCAGCTAGAATCCCAAACGATGGAGTATGATCTAGAGTATGTGGAGTAATCTCCACCCAATGTGAAGTAGCATCACACTCCATCCGCTGTGATATCCTAATGATCTGATCAACACTCTTCACCTGCCGAGAGTCAAATATGAAATACCTGCTCAGAACAAAATCAGAAGCTCCTAACTGATAATTAAACGAACCTCTCTGAATCCCAAAAGTACAATCGGATCAAATCTCACATCCTCGATGTGACCAAATGCTGGGTAACCAAATATCCAACGCAACCCAAAATCTAAAGCAGCTCCACCAGATCTAAAATCTCCACATGCAGCAGTCGACAACCTATGACCAAGATGACCCAAATATGTTGAAGCTCGAAAATCAAAACCAATGCTCGACAACCAACACCGATCCCCTTCCAGTAAGGAACAACTCATTAAAACTGTCATCTCATCTCGTCGTCCCAATGTCTCCATATCAATGAAGTATCTCAAACTGCCATGAGCTCGGCACAAATGTAAGAAAGAACCCCTACCAAAGCTAGAACGACGGGTTAACTTTCTGTCAATACACTTCTTCCAATTGTTGTTGACTTCTAGGACTTCACACCAACGGGACCTGGTTGTAACCCACTAATGCCTAGAACAATCCCCAACTATGGAAACCAAATATTGATTACCTCCCAATGATGCCTCCTTGGAATGCCCCCATAATGTCTGACTGAACACTACCTAAAAGACCTCTCGATCGATGGATAGAAGTGCCAAACTCCACCTCGATCTTCTTGCTCATACCAATATGCTCAAAGGACTTCAATCTGCAGGTCAAAAAAACACCCATCAACAAACCATACATGACATAACCAATCAAATAACCCAGCCTTAACAAATACCACAGTCTAGCCAAATTCAAAAAAGTCGTCAGCTCTCTATCAAATATCGTGCTCACAATCAAATAATACAAATTATTCTTCCTGACGCCCTTCATCACAATCATGGACCTTAATGTGACCTTCAAACGTGAATCGACTAAGGTCACCCTATAGCCTGCTACTTCTAAAACTCCAAGTAAAATAATGTTCTTCTTCAACTGAGGAACGAACCTCACTCCAACCAACTCCCGAATCATTCCATCACTCATCCTAATCCAAATGGTACCAATACCACCAATAGGACATTCATGATCATTACCCATGAGCATGACCTTCCTGCTTTCCAACTCTTGAAAGCTGGAAAACTAATCCCTCCTAGGACAAATATGGTAAGAAGCATCCGAATCCAACATCCACTCTGTAGAGTCAGTAACACAAACTGACGGTAGCGCAGATAACGAGTAGCCCGAAGAATCCGAATCTAAATTATTACCACTAGCCTTGATAACATTCACATCTGAATCTTGAGTAGCTTTCCCCTTATTCTTCCCGGCTCAATCAACTAACTTTGGGCATTCGACTTTTTAATGTCCATCCTCTTTACAAAAGGCACACTGATTCTTACGAACTGTAAGATGTGCCCCTCTAGACTGTGACCTCCTACCACGGTTTTGGACTCTTTGCTCTTGCGACTAATGCCCCCGCTACCGGCTCAACTGAAGTCTCCTTACCTTTCTTTCGAAGCTGATAATTCACAAGTACAGCGGTGACCTCACTATAAGAAAGAGATGCCTTCTCATTAATAAGAGTAAGAACGAAAGTCTCATATTCCTCGTCAGGCAAGGAATTCAACAACAACAATGCATTATCCTCATCTTCAATCATCACATCTACATTCGTCAAATCTGTAAGAAGCTTTGTATAGTGGTTCATGTGATTACCAATAGAGGTCTCCTTCTTTAATTGGAAGCAATAAAACCGCAAGCGGTTCTCTACACTCTTGGTCAAATACTTACCCTCTACGATCTCCCAAATCTTATTAGCCGAAGTCTCATTGGTCACATTATATTTTAAATCTTGAGTCAAACAAGATCTAATCACGCCACTGTAGGTATCAAAAAATACTTATAGACATCCAAATACAGCTCAAGACTAAGAAAAGAATAATGTGCATACTCGTGACAAAATACACTAACGTGTGTTAACATAACAACGGATGGTGACGCACATAGGCGCGACAGCCTATGGTGACGTGCATAGGCGCGATAGGCTATGATGACGCACATAGATGATGACACGGCAAGGCGTGTCGGTGATGTATGACGCGCGTATGCGTGGCAGGGCATGGTGACGCGCAAACAGTAGGGTAATCTCCTATGTGATTTGCTGACAGTTTTTTTAACATCTTTTGAGAGTCCACGTGACGACATACCAGAAGAAGAACATGTGCTAACGTGGAAGGGTGGTTACAGGCCGAGAAAAGTGACATTTCGTGGGTTTAAAGTCGTGAG